GTGCATGTTTCCACTGACTCGGGAAATGCTGAAACATAAATATAGCATTAAACAGTGCGACTAAAAACTGCTGCGGCAGCTTCTTCAGGACGTCGTTAGAGATGACGTCGGGGCCAGGAGCTTTTCCAGTTTTCAGCTCCGAGATGGCCACTTTTACTTGTCTCTGTAGCGAAACTCGGCTCGTCGGCTGGTGCGTGCAAGGCCGCCATTGCCGTTTGTTGTACTTCGACAACGTACGGTATTGTCGGCGCCTCCTTGACCGGTTGAAACTGACATTCTAAGACATGAGTTCCGCTTTCGCTTCGTTTGATTCTGCGAGCTCTCCTGTGCTGGTCTGAAGCGGCGGCACTGTTATTGGCGTCCTGGAAAGCATGCGAGTCACTCGCCACAGTGAATTATCTTCAGGTTTGAGACCTGACAATTTGGCCCATTTCTGATTGCGGTATTCAGCTAGTTCGATTTCAACTTTACGTTTCAATCAGTTTAGCTCCTGCTTATCAGCTGGGTGTCGCGTGCTCTACCACAATCTGCGCGCCCTGTTTTTCCTAGAAATGATGGCACAAGACAATTCGCGGAAGCGTGTGGACTCGCAGCCTCAGCCGCAGCAGCGGAGAAGCGCGTTCCTTAAAAAGGAGCAACGCATTAATCCATAACATCTTAATCCTTATTTCTTAGGAAAAAACGAGGGCGCGCAGATTGGGGTAGATGCACCACAGCCCTAAAGAAAGGAGCTAAACTGGGTTGAACGTAAGGAGTTGAAATGAAACTAGCTGATACTCGCAATCAGAATGGGCCAAATTGTCAGGTCTTGCAAAGCGCTGAAGATAATTCCTGTGCGAGTGACTTCGCATGCTTTCGCGAGACGTACATCCAATAGCCATGCGGCGCCTTCAACAGCAACAGAGAGTCGCATGAATCAAACGGAAGCGAAGCGACTCATTCTTTAGGAATGTCAGTGTTCATCAAGCTCGGTGATACAAGGGAGGGCTCGGATCCGACAGATTACCTGGTACGTTGTCGAAGTACAACAGACCGGCATGGGGCTTGCAGCGCACGGGAGGCGACGAGCCGAGTTTCCCTACAGGAGCAAGTAAGAGTGGCCGATCTCGGGCATGCTGAAAACTGGAAAAGCTTCCTGGCCCGCGACTCCGATCTTAACCGACGTCCTGAAAAGCTGCCGATTGCAGTTTTCGTAAGTCGGCTGTTCAGTGCTAGTATTTAATGGTTCACAGTTTCCCGAGGTCAGGTGGAAGATGCATATTTTACATGCTTTTGCAGCAATGGGGAAGATAACAGCCCGTGTCGTTACAGGTCCATAAAGCGTACTATAAACGGTCGTAGGCTATGTGAAAACTAATTCAAAAAGAATCTTTAAAGCACTTATATGTTTCAGAAAATGCACTCGCTTACACGAAGGACAGTTCGGAGTTCGGGACGTAGAACACTGCACCAGCTTGTGCAAATCAAATCACGGACCGGCATAAGACGGCAACTTGCAATGTTTGCCGATTCACAAGTAGGAGGTTTTCCTCGACAGTTGTCCAGCGCCTTCTGATCAAGGTCTGGCCGTCGGATCGGCCTTTACAAACTCCACTCAGTGTACTGTTTCCTATGTATCCGTTATAGCGACCTTATCCTTCTGGTACTAACTGAGCATGCCGTAACTCCGACTGACCCCGCGCCGTAGGAGCACTGAGCACAGAGGAGGCGGATTGCTGCCTACGTGCCCTGCTACAGACTTTATGTGCGTGTTGATATCCAACCCACCCTCCAGAAGTGCTCGCCTTGGTGAGCAGGACGATGACGGCTGTAGATAGCCGCACATAAAAATATCGAGCTTCTCCAGAAGTACTGTGGATCGACATTTTGCTACTGCGATTCTGGACTGGCTGAGAACTGGGTGGCGCGGTCGAAGAAGTCGAATAGTGGGAAGTTAATAGTGCATGTCTTGTAGCTCTTCCACACGGAGACTGATTGGACGTATGACGGCAGGCCACCC